GGCCCTGCTTGGCATACCTCTTGCTGATTCAAGGTGCGAGCTGTTGGGGCAGGAGAGGATGAGAGTGCATGGCTGGCGACGCAGTATTTAGTTGGGTTTTGGGTCTGCACGTACCCAATTAGTCCCTAAGCACTAATTAATTATCTTAAAAGAGAGGATAAATCTATTGATTTATATGGATGGACGAAAATACCCTTTTGAAACTTTTCTAGGGGTGTGTACTGAAGCACATTCAACATCTAAGTTTATCCATTTGTTTCTAAAAAGAAGTTCTCTGTAAAGGAGTCAAACAGACCATGATTCATCAGTAAAGAGCAAGTCTTCCTCTTCGGTTCTGTTGTTGTGAAGTTCGAGCTTCCCATCGACGCAGAGTTCATGTTTCCCATTGGTGTGAAGTATGGATATAAGGCTTGGAGATTTTCCGCTAAGTCTAGAAAAGCATCGGATCCGGGTAGTGTGTGGACCACTTCCCAACACTTGCTTTATTGGGACAAATTTCCATCCCTCCTATATATAGGAGCCTAACAATACTATAACTTTGTCGTATTTGTCTTTAAGACTATCACATTCCTTACTGAATCTGTTGCTAGAACATGGTAAATTTCCTGATTATTTGATCTGTTGCTCATGGAATATCTTTATTTTCCAACTTAAATGTTGGCCATAATTCAATACTGCAAGTATGCGTCTATAATATTGCCATAGAATATAGAAGTTGCAATTAAATGTGCTGCTACTTATTGGCTATCTGTCTTTGCATTGTTGCAGTTCCCTTGCACCCCAGGTTTCAGAGTTATGGCGAGATTTCCAAGAGCCCGAAACCTCCCAGCTCGTCGAGGTAGGTCATCTTCATCTGATGCGCGTTCCAGCTGTTGGAAGACAAAAGAAGCAGACGAACAGAGTGATTTGCCATTGGCCTGTGAGAAAAGAGAATGGAAAGGTGCAACTTGCCCAGTTTGCTTGGAGCATCCACATGATGCCGTCCTCCTCCTCTGTACTTCTCACCACAAGGGTTGCCGGCCTTATATGTGTGGCACCAACTACCATCACTCTAACTGTCTTGAACACTTCAAAGAAGCTTATGCGAAAGAGAAATTGGCCCTTGGTGATTCCGCCGAGTCCGCACTTAACCTTCCATTTTCTCCAAACACAGAACCAGCAAACAAGCATCCATCTACAATGGAACTTGCATGCCCTCTGTGCCGTGGGGATGTTAAAGGATGGACTGTGGTTGAACCTGCTCGTCAGTATCTCAACCGCAAGAAGAGAGCATGTGTGCATGATGCCTGCTCGTTCGTTGGTTCATATAGAGAACTTTGCAAGCATGTGAACTCCAAACACCCTTCAGCAAAACCTCGTGAGGTTGATCCTGCACTTGCAAGTGAGTGGAAAAAGTTTGAATGTGAAAGAGAGCGCCAGGATGCAATCAGTACTATCAGGGCTTCGAACCCAGGAGCTGTGATTATGGGGGATTATGTACTTGAATTGAACGGTGGCAGCAACAACAGTATGTTCGCCGATGGAGATGAATTTGACTTGGAGAGACTCAACTTCTTCACTTCCATGGATCGCACCCTGAACGAGAGGATCGACTTCTATGAATCTTCAGAAGGTAGTTTGGATGAGAGCATCGACTTCCTGGCATCCTTATTTGGCCGTGGCAGGCGGATCACAAGTGGAGACTCACACAGCAGGGCTTACAGAAGGCACAGGGAGAGGCCTAGGCGTAACCACCTGGGCATATCAGTTGATTCTTCTGATATCCGGCAAGATCCAGTCAACACTCAAAGGGGGCAGCGAGTTGCTGCTGTTCGAGGGAGAGCCCCACGGCGGCACCATCCTATGGTGACTCACGTGAGGTCGACACGTGGGAGCTGAGGGTTTTAAACTGCCATGGGGCCCTGTTCATTCTATCCATGCGCGAGTTAGGCAAAAATAACGCAGCTGTGATGGGCAATGCCTGGTTCTCAGAGGTCCATCAGGTTCTTCCCTTTTCGCTTTGTTTCGTCGCTGAGACGGCACGCAGCAACAGAGGACGCAGGTTGGACTGGGATCTCTCTGTTCGGCGATGCTCATGCCTGTAGTATATGCTCTGCTGCATATGATTGGGGGCCAAAGCAGTGCTGTTTTTCCTGTGCTGCCTTGCATGGATTTTGATGTGAATGCCCCTTGCCTTTATTTTATTTTCTTGATCATTTGTAAAACTATGGACGGGTTGTTATCTGGCGATTGCTACATGTGTCGTTTGTATTGCTGCGACGAACTGGATTGTGCAGTCGATTTGATCCGCGAGCTTGTTATTCATGTGTGGAACTTCTTTATGGTTCTATTGTATTAGCTATTGCTGTGGCTTATTATCAGCCAGTTATTGGTATGTAATATTGTAGGCTGCTTTGGTACAATAGATGTGTACCTGGATTGTTGAAAGAATTCCATTAGCATATGCTTCTCTGGACACTGTAATTTGACTCCCTACATCCTCAGTTGCTGAGTCCATAAATTTGGCCTGTTCTTGGCAGAAATAGGTGTTTTGGACTATGCGGGGTGGGATAGGGTGTGTGCTGGAGTTGATCTTATCGTGTGTAAATCTCTGCTATTAACTGATACTCCCTCCGTAAACTAATATAGATATTTTAGATCACTACTTAGTGATTATATATAGCTATTTGCGTATTTTAAGCCTGACATTGAGCATGGTTGATTACTGATTATATATAATCAACCATGCTCAATGTCAGGTTATACATTGTTGTCATGTCATCTAGAGTCGCTATTGGCAGTCACTCCTACTACTATTGATTGGCTATAAGATTGGATATTAGGATGGCCATATTTTCAATCGTCTTTATCCTTTTCTTCATTGCATTTACTCTGTTTGCTTTGGAGGTGTGTTCTTGTATGAGAACCTGCTCCTTTTTTTTTCTTGTCTCTCTCCTTGACATAAGTGTCATGTAAGTAGGATATACACCTTAATTATATATTTTTTGAGGGAGATCCTTAATTATACATGCTATCACACTATTTCATTGAACCGGCCAAATACTCATCAAATAAATTTTCACACCTAGTCTGAAATCTGAACCCCTCACAAAAAGGGAACCTTTTGTATTGAACGTCCGAGTCCACGAGCAAAGCGTCAAACGCTAGTCAACACGTCTATATAATCACATGATTGATTAGAGTATCTACAACCGGACTTAGCAAATCTGCCCCCCTATAGGTGTCCAGACGCGTCCGCGGACAGCGCCCGCCAGCCCCTCATATCTTGCGCCACACATCCACATACCTCAAATGCCGATCCTCAAATCCATGCACGTCGATCATACGATACAAATGGTCCGAATTCAATAGTTTGAAACAAAGCAAAGTAAATCATAGTTCAACAAACTGGACATGCCAAAATGAAATCAATGTTCGAGCATGACAGATGGCTTGCTTGTCGAACCAGTGGTCGGACGCCATCCATGTCGCATGCTCCGAGCCCATGCTTGCGTCCTACATGCGACGCCGCCGTCGCCGTGCTCTCTCGCTGCTGGCATCGCCGCATCTTTCGCAGCGACATTCTGCGCCTTGCAAGACGGAGCCGAGGAAGGGACACCGACAGACTAGGTGGACTGCGTCTTCGTCACGGCGGCCGGGGACGGGCTGACGACATCTACGACGGCGGATCGGGACCGGTGGTGAGGATGGGGAGCAAGGGTGGCGGACGGCGAGGGCACGGGCGCGGGAAAGGTTGGAGGGCGGCAGCAGGAGGAGGAAGGGTTTGGTGGATTTGATGCAATTTGCGATGGGGTCGGGCTATCAGGTCCGACGTGGCGGGTGCGCTTGGCGTCCCATATCTGCCCCATATTTGGGCTGGCTTTGAGGGGTGCCAGTCAGCCTGGGCATTTGAGTTCCGTTTAAGGAGCCCGTCTAGGTCGAAATTTTGTGATCGGTCAGTGACCCGGCGGCCCGCCCGAGCGTTTGAGGCGGCTTTAGGGCGCCCGACTGTAGATGCTCTTATATAGTGCTCGATATGCTGCTTCGGTAGCCTCACCATGCTGCCCCGTGACGGGCAGCTCTGTTGCCTCGTCTTCATGCTCGATCCAGGGCCTATGACCCTATCGACGACCCCGTAAGGGCATCTTCAAGGGAGACCCGCAAAACTCCGGTATATATTCGACCGAACACTTTTGTTTACTTTTGCAAGCCAACGCGGTCCTGCACCAGTCCGCGAAGCTGTCCGGACGTCTATTTTCCGGCAAAGTAGAGACAAACATGAGGAGATATACTGGAGTCTGGACATCCGCTTGATCAACCAAAAGCCTCCGCATGGTCCTCCTTTCTTTTCTCTCTCTTCACATGCATGATTCCCCCTCCTCTCTCTCCTCACATCAGAACACCACACCACAAATAGCCCACCACATGCATGGTCCCCACCTACTTTTTCTCCCCCAGCCAGATACTTTGTGATTAGCATTGGATGGCTCACTCCGGCATCATGTCCATGGACCATGTCCGGACATATAGACGGACAAATACCGAAGACTTTAGCAGGTCAGCCTTGGAGATGTTGTAAGCTGCCTCGCCACCGCGTTGTAGCAACCTCACTTGGTGGCCACGTCGACGACCACCTACGTTGCCTCGCACCTGGGTTCGACTGCGCCATGTCGCTATGTCGTGGATGTTCCCATAGCATAGGAAATTATTTCAGCAGGACAACGGATTTCTCCATTGATTGAAAGTGTTTTGCATCACACAAAAAACAATATTTCCATTCATATATGAAAAAGAGTCGTGCTAGGCGCCGGCCGGATGGCCGAAATTTCCTCCGATAGCCGCGTATCGATTTAGGTCTCGCAAACTGTTAGATCCCTATCTATTCGCTTCACCCGTCTCATAATGCTTTGACCGTCTCATAATATGTTTTCTATACGGCCTAATTATGTATGTCCTAATTATCTTCCACACACACAAGTACTTTAGGATGCGTTTGGTTAGAGGCACATGCTAGGCTGGATATGGTCATCCCCATCCTGCTGGATAGGGATAGCCATTTTTTCTGTTTGGTTAGAGGGATGAGGTTAGCCCATGTTTTGTTTGGTTTGAAGGATGAATCATGGTTGGGGATAGCCATTTTTCTGTTTGGTTGGTGGCTGAGGTTAGCCATTTTTCAATATGAGACAATCGAATATGATATGTACAATAGTAATTATAAGAACATTTTTAGAAACTTGAACATCATACCCAAACAAACTCATCAGTAGTACAAGCTAAACTTTAAATACAATACATATCATCGTTTAACATTTCCATATATATAACACAAGTGCATAAATCTCATAGTTCAACATTCCATAGAATACTAGATCAAATATTGAAGGAAATATGCCCTAGAGGCAATAATAAAGTTATTATTTATTTCCCTATTTCATGATAAATGCTTATTATTCATGCTAGAATTGTATTAACCGGAAACATAATACATGCTTGAATGCATAGACAAACAGATTGTCACTAATATGCCTCTACTTGACTAGCTCGTTGAATCAATGATGGTTATGTTTCCTAACCATAGACATGAGTTGCCATTTGATTAACGGGGTCACATCATTAGAGAATGATGTGATTGACATGACCCATTTCGTTAGCTTACCACATGATCGTTTAGTTTACTGCTATTGCTTTCTTCGTGACTTATACATGTTCCTATGACTATGAGATTATGCAACTCCCGATTACCGGAGGAACACTTTGTGTGCTACCAAACGTCACAACACAACTGGGTGATTATAAAGGTGCTCTACAGGTGTCTCCAATGGTACTTGTTGAGTTGGCATAGATTGAAACTAGGATTTGTCACTCCGATTGTCGGAGAGGTATCTCTAGGCCCTCTCGGTAATGCACATCACTATAAGCCTTGCAAGCAATGCAATTAATGAGTTAGTTGTGGGATGATACATTACAAAACGAGTAAAGAGACTTGCCGGTAACGAGATTGATCTAGGTATTGAGATACCGACGATCGAATCTCGGGCAAGTAACATACCGATGACAAAGGGAGCAACGTATATTGTGTTGGAAATATGCCCTAGAGGCAATAATAAATTAGTTATTATTATATTATATTTCATTGTTCATGATAATCGTTTATTATCCATGCTAGAATTGTATTGATAGGAAACTCAGATACATGTGTGGATACATAGACAACACCATGTCCCTAGTAAGCCTCTAGTTGACTAGCTCGTTGATCAATAGATGGTTACGGTTTCCTGACCATGGACATTGGATGTCGTTGATAATGGGATCACATCATTAGGAGAATGATGTGATGGACAAGACCCAATCCTAAGCCTAGCACAAAGATCGTGTAGTTCGTATGCTAAAGCTTTTCTAATGTCAAGTATCATTTCCTTAGACCATGAGATTGTGCAACTCCTGGATACCGTAGGAATGGTTTGGGTGTACCAAACGTCACAACGTAACTGGGTGGCTATAAAGGTTCACTACAGGTATCTCCGAAAGTGTCTGTTGGGTTGGCACGAATCGAGACTAGGATTTGTCACTCCGTGTAAACGGAGAGGTATCTCTGGGCCCACTCGGTAGGACATCATCATAATGTGCACAATGTGATCAAGGAGTTGATCACGGGATGATGTGTTATGGAACGAGTAAAGAGACTTGCCGGTAACGAGATTGAACAAGGTATCGGGGTACCGACGATCGAATCTCGGGCAAGTATCATACCGACGGACAAAGGAAATTGTATACGGGATTGATTGAATCCTTGACATCGTGATTCATCCGATGAGATCATCGTGGAGCATGTGGGAGCCAACATGGGTATCCAGATCCCGCTGTTGGTTATTGACCGGAGAGTTGTCTCGGCCATGTCT